AATCTTCCAAATTTAATATTAATATTTATAAATATTATTTATTTAAAGATTTATATTTTAAAAGAAAAACTCCTTATAGTAAAAATATTTTTTGGTGAAATCAAAATGAACAAGAAAACATAAAAAATAAGAAGTTTTGTTATAAGAATTAGTTTAGATGTAAAAACTCTAATAATTGAGAAAGATATAGAGAGGCCCATGAAAATCTAATAAAGCAATATTCGATGCAAAGATTTTTGCTTTTAATGATTTATATAATAAATTAGATACAAAGAAGGGTGAAAGACATATGCATAAGTTAGCAAAACAAAGAGATAAGAGTAGTAAAGATTTAGTGCAAGTGAACTACATGCATTAAGGATGAAAATCAAAAGTACTTTTATTTAAAAAAGATATTTAACAAAGGTGGATGACATATTTTGCTAAACTTTTTAATGAAGATTGTGAGAATAAAATTGGCTTTAGTGACCTTAACAACTTAAAGGAAAATAAATATTTTTTCTATCGACGTATTAGTAAAATTGATGTTAGAGAGACCTTAAAGAAAATGGATAGTGAAAAAGCTGTTAGACCTGATGATATTCCAATAAAGGTGTGAAAATGCTTAGGAGATGAAGGAATTTCTTAGCTTACTAATTTTTTTAATAATATTAAAAAAAAGTTATATGAGTGAAAAATGAGTGTGCTGATTTCTATTTTTAAAAGTAAAGGTAATGCAAAAGATTGTGTGAATTATAGAGTAATTAAGTTAATGTGCCATACTTTAAACTTTGGGAGAGATTTATGGAGCATATGTTTCGACATAAGACTAATGTTTCTCAAAATCAAATTGGATTCATGCCGGGTAGGTCTACTATGGAATCTATACATCTATTGAGAGGTTTGACGGAGAAGCATAGATAGAATTAGGACAATCTTCATATGATATTTATTAATTTAGAGAAAGCATATGATAAAGTTCCAAGAGAAGTGCTATGTAAAGTTTTAGAAAAGAGGAGTTAATAATGCTTATATATAAGTTATCAAGGATATGTATGCAAGTGTTGTTGCTTTCGTTCAAATACAAGGTGGTTTGACAAATTATTTTCCTATTTATGTTGGATTACATCAAGGATAAATCTTAAGCCCATATATTTTTGCTTTAGTAGTGGATGTTCTTATTAAATATTTGCAAGAAGTTGTACCCTTGTGTATGCTTTTGCTGATGATATTATTTTTGTTGATAAGACTAGAGAGGGAGTTGAAGGTAAACTTGAATTATGGAGGTCAACCTTAGAGTCCAAAAAATGCTTCAAACTTTATTCCCTTGGCTGCCTATTACAAGCCAAAAAACCTCCTATATATAGGCACAAAAGCCATACAAAGTGCAACACTATTGGCCATACATACCAAACAAGACACCTATGAAAAAGCAAACCTAAATTTAGGAACAAATATCTAACAATCTCCACCTTGGTCCTAGATTTTACAAAAAACAAAAGATAACCACTATTCTTTAAAAAACAACCAAAGAATGATCCTGTTGGTCTCCTCCGCCAAAAGCGTCCATCGACATTCTAGCTCCACCTCCCGACAGATCTCCTGTCGCACTGCGTCCAACGCAGCCAATCCCGAGCACCCCTAGCCCGGCTTCCGCTTAAATAATATTTTGTTTGTACCCTTCATATCATGCAAAATGTTAAATGTCATCACATGTTTTATGAATAATTACAAATTTATAGTTGCCAATTTTTAATTTTAAAATTCTAATAATATTTTTTATGGTTGGTATTACCTAAATTAACTATCACCTACATATTCTTTTAATATTCAAGTATAGAATATTACATAGAGTAATTATTTGATAATGTATTTTGTCAAATCTACTTTATATATTACATGTTTATAATGAAAATGAGGGCCAGAGGCTAAGATTGTGAAATTATGAGCACATTAAGTCACTAAGATGTTTAGGATAAATAGCTTTGTTTGGGACATCTTTATTATTATTATTTTTAAACAGTTTTCTTCTACAAAATTTTTTGTAAAAAACTAATTTACAAAGCAACTAGAAAGTTGTTACAAATGAAGCCTAATTCATATCATGTTAGGTTTTATTCCAGATTTTTTAGGTTTGTTTTTGTATAGCTTGTGTGTGGCTATTTTTATAGCCTTAGGTGCCTATTAATAGGCCTTTTAGCTTGTATTAGGATAAGCCAATGTAGAAAACTAGTGAGGAAGAACTTGTTTGATCTTCTTGCAAGATCTTGAGAGGGAGTGATGAGGGAGAGGAGAGGGGACCGTGAGCCAACTAATGCAAAATTTCTTTATTTCATGGCTACCTATTACAAGCCTAAAAACCCTTATTTAAAGACTCCTAAGAGCTATACAAATAGCTCCACACATGGCTACATAGGTTAAAACAAGAAACCTAAAACTAAAGCAAACCTAAATCTAGGAACAAATACACAACAATCTCCATCTTTTCCTAGATTTACAAAAAACAAAAGATAACCACTGTTCTTTAAAGAACAGCCAAAGAATGATCCTGTCGGTCTCCTCCGCCAAAAGCGTCCACCGACAGTCTAGCTCTACCTCCTGACAGATCTCCTGTCACACTACGTCCAACGCAGCCAATCCCGAGCACCCCTAGCCCAGCTTCCGCGCCCTGTGCCTCCACCTGCACCCTGCGCCTCAGTGCCCGCGACCTGCACCTCTAGCCAGCGTCCAATGCTATCAGCCCCGCGCCCGCGCCTTGCACTCATGTGGTATGTCACCGACCACATCCTGCACGTATCCACCAGTGCAGCGAGCCCTGCGCCTTCACCAGCACTCCGCTCGTCACCAGTGCCCCGCGCTCCTATGCGGCCTCCTCGTGCACTGCACGGCCTTGCATCTCCAAGCACCCTGCACTTTCAACCCTGCTCTCCAAGAACAGCCGACACTACCTCAGTGTCTCTCGGACTCCACCTGAAGTCCAAAACTCCACCACAAAGAAGATCCTATCTCTTCTTTAAAAATCTTAACCAATATTCAAATCAAGAATAAGTCTTACTTCCAAGCTAGTCAAGACCGATCGAAACTAGATTTAAGATCAAGCCAAAAATTCGGCCTCCGATCAGATCAAACCTCCAAAAGCAAACAAGGCCAGTCGCTTGCATCTGAGCGAAACAAGAACGACCCGCTGCCTTCGTCCGACCTCCTCATGTAAGAAAAATAAGCCCTGACCGGTCTTTGGAAATCCTGCCTCCAACAACCCTTCACGTGCGATCACCAAGCTTTGTTCCCACACATACTCCCTCATGACCTCATTATCAACTTGCATGCACCTATCACCGCTTTATACGAATTGATCCCAGAGACTTCAAGAAGCCTCTACTCCATTCTGTACGTCCATCTTCTACAAAAGAATCCACAATCTTGCTTTTTGAAAACCATATCAATCCTTCTTGCTGACCTTTGTCTGATCTTGCTTGGTTCCCACATGAATAAGTTCAACTTCAGGATCCTCCACGTATTTCCTGCGAGCATTCAGCCTTAGGCTGACCTTCACATCCAGCTGGCTAAGCCAGCCTTCGATTTTCTCCAGTCAGCCGCTCCCTTCGCCGAGCCGAAGTCGCCTCCGATCGCGGCACCGGCAGCCACCACCTCCTCTCTCTGATAGAACACCTTCCTCCTTCCTTGATCGCCACCAGGGCTCTGATACCAAATGTAGAAACTCAAGAGGAAGATCTTGTTGAGAGATATCCTTGCAAGATCTAGAGAGGGAGAGAGGAGGAGGGAGAGGGGAGACAAACCGTGAGCCAAAAAATGCTTCAAACTTTATTCCCATGGCTGCCTATTACAAGCCTAAAAACCTCCTATATATAGGCACAAAAGCCATACAAAAAGCAACACTTTGAGTAGATCTAAAACTGAATTAGATGGAGAGTAATTTTAATAGTAATAGATCCAGTGGAGGGTTTGTGACTTTGGGCGATCAAGTCATTAATAAGAGCACATGTTTTAGATATCTTGGTTCTATTGTTCAGAGTGATGGTGAAATAAAAAGAGATATTATTAGTAGAATTGAAGTTTAATGGTTGAAGTGGAGGAATGCATCAGGCTTGTCATGTGCTAGAAAATCCTCCTTAAACTTAAGGGAAAATTCTATAAGATGGTGGTCAGCCCTGCAATACTTTATGGTGCAGAATGTTGGCCATTAAAAGAGAAGCATATTATTAATTAGTTAAGTGTTGTAGATATGACGATGCTTAGGAGAATTAGTGGCTTTACTCTTAGTGACAATATATGAAATGAGTATATACGTCAAAAGGTTGAAGTATCTCTAGGAAAAATAAGATTAGAGAGAGTTGTCTTAGATGGTTTAGTCACATAAAGTGACAACCTTTCGATGACCCGATTAGAAAAATAGATGTATTATATTTAGCTTGTGTTAAGAAAGGTAGAGGTTGACCTGAAAAGATTTGGTTAGAACATATTAGAAATGACATGTTTTTTTAGATTTAAATGAGAATTTAATTTCTAACAACACAATGGAGAAAAAGGATTCATGCATCCGATTCAATGTAATGAATTGATGGCTTGATGTTGTTATATAATTATTTATTTATTTTTGAAGAGTATGATATTTTTAGAGATGATAATGAAAGAAAGGAGACGGGGAAGGATCCTTTCACCAGCATGATGTGAGGCAAAATCGTCCTTTTTTAAGTGACCCATAGAGTGCGGCCTCAACAGTCACCAAGTAACAGAAAGCTATATAAGGAGATAAAGGCCCACGCTTATCAAAATGCATTGCGGTCAGAGAAAATGGATGGTGATCCTTGTGCCGTACCAACTTGGAAATTAGGAGATTTATAAGAACTATTGTAGCATTGTGGACCCTGAGATTATTGGAGGCCTTAAACAAGGTTACCAGGGTCCAGTTGTCAAAATAATTGGTGTAGGGTCTGAGTTGCATGTAGGTAAGCTTGTGAATGTGCCAAAAGAGAAAAATTTAAGAGGGTCTTATTTATTTGTATTGAGAAAGAGAGAAGATAGGCCAATTTGATGGTGTCAATGTGTCATTGGGAAATAATGGAGGTTTGGTTGGTTAAGCGTCGCTCTTGGGCTTCTTCTCTTTACTAAAGCTTCTTCTCCCTTCTTGTCAGTAACCCGTGTTCCTCTTGGCTTTCCTCCTTCAACGCGCGCGCTCTCTCTCTCTCTCTCTCTCTCTCTCTCTCTCTCTCTCTCTCTCTCTCACTGCACGAAAAGCTTGCACATGTAACCAAAAACTCCAACTTTATTTTCTTAATCTAAATGAGAGGTAAGCACGTATGGAAGCTTTAAGCTTGCTGTTTCTTGTGATTTTTAGCATTACCTATTTTCTCCTCTACAGGCTCTCTTCTTTTGAAGTAAAGGAAACAATTTTCTCTGCCAAACACTTCCTTCATTCTCCAGCTCTCATTCCTTGAAAGAAGAGCCTCAATGAGTTTTTTTTCAGTTACTTCGATATCCGCTCTAGTAGTCGACCAAAATTGAAGCTTTTTTTATTCATCATGACAGATCAGGGGAGCTCTTCCGAGCAGGAGAGTTCCCCTTCGTCTTCTTCCTCCTCCAATCGGGCTCCGAAGGCGAACCAGTCCCCTGATTCTGATCAGGTCGGCCGCGCTGCCGCCGACACCGTGAAAAGATCGCGTGACCGGAGCAAACATCCGGTGTACCGCGGTGTACGGATGCGAAGTTGGGGAAAATGGGTGTCTGAAATCCGACAACCGAGAAAGAAATCGAGGATTTGGCTCGGAACATTCCCGACGCCTGAAATGGCGGCGCGCGCGCACGACGTAGCAGCTTTGAGCATTAAAGGAAGCGCGGCCATTCTCAACTTTCCCGAGCTTGCGGCGTCGCTGCCTCGGCCGGCCACCCTCTCCCCGCAAGACGTACAGGCCGCTGCAGCTAAGGCTGCCATAATGGAGCCTTCGCCGCCAGCGATCCTCTCTCCTGCTTCTCTACTGTCTCCCGACGAGCTTGGGGAGATTGTGGAGCTTCCCCGCCTCGGCACCGACTTCGTCTTCCAAGAGACGGTCCACTCGTGGCCATTTTCATGGTCCGAGAGCACTGAGGACTCCACTCTCTTTTCTGATTCGCTCTGGCCGCCAAACAACTTCGAATCTCACTCGTGGAATTATTAGAACGCTCTGGAGTGAGGAGCCACGAATGTGTTGCTGGGAGTTCCAAATTCCGGTAAAAACAACGAAAGGGGAATCACTATCTCTCTCTCTCTCTCTCTCTCTGGTTCTTCGGCAAATGAAATTTTGATCAGGGTCTATCTCTCCACAACGCACATTTTCTCTGCATTTTTCTCATGTATTATGTTCTTCTCTGAGTTTCTGGGCTTGTTGAATAACTAGGTTGTCTATAGAAAGCTGGAGGAGGAAAGTTTTCATGTGAGTCATGGTCTGCTATGTTGCTTTGTTTTCATGGAATCCATCCTTTTCTGTGAATCTAAATTGGCGCAGATGTGCTCTATGTTTTACCGTTCAAGTGAATAAAGAATATTTCTCTCTGTAACAAAGTTTATTTTGAATAAAGCGTACGAAAAGTTAATTTGTACTTTAATTTGACTGAGACACTTGAGCGCATCATATAATTTCTGTCATGATTTTTAGCCGTAATGATTTAGGATAAATTTCTTATGATTGTGAATCAATATATTTAGAAATTAGAAATATCATATGATTATTATTTTTTTATTTGAACTCATTTCGATGAGTTTAAGATGAAACTCGATTACATAGCTTTTTTTGATTTATTGATTGAAAAATTAGGCTATCAATTAAAAAATTTTGAATTTGAATATTGTGTATGTGATGTTTGTATGAATTTATCTTAATTGATCTGTCCAAAAAAATAAAAAGACGAAACTCGATTGATATTTAGCTTGGTGGAGTTATAAATAGTCTGCATTATTCACTTTGAATTAGGTAAATTTGGTCAAAATTTTATTAAAGAATCAACTAATCAATTAAATTATAATAAATATTATATCCATCGGCAATAAATTTTCATTAATGTTGGATGTGCACTTGAGCTACAAGCATAATAATCTAAGCCTACATTTTAAGGTGGCTTGAATAATAAATGATTGAATATAAATAAGAAAACTATCAAAAATGGTATTATACATTTGAATGTGAGTATGTAGATACCACTCGTAAAAAAATACAACTCAAAATACAGAATTATTTCATACACTTATATTCTCATGAATCATTTAAATCAAGATATTCCATTATGAGTGAGTCTAAGCACCATAAAGTTGATGAAATAGGTTAAACCCTATTAAATCTAAAACTAACACATTTAGGTTTCGTTTGAGACATCTTTTATGCAACTTTTTAAAATGACTTTCTAGTACAAAAATTTCTTGAAAAGCAAGAAGAAATCCGTTCCAAACGAAGCCTTAGTCTCTTAAGTCATCTAAGAGCTTGCTTCGATTAGGCTAACAAATTAAGTTGTTGAAATTAGCAATTTTTATGACAACTTAACAGTAATCATGATATCTTGACTACTCGTCAAGCGCGAGTATGTGAAGCCACACATTAAATCTCTCTCTCTCTCTTCTTCTAAATTATCTTATGCTAGTTTAATTTGACTTACCATTTTCTGTTTAAAGAGCTTCAAGTAGGTCATTTGACACTAATCCTGTATAAGACTCATTGTCTCTGCATTCTTCTCTTGTTTTATGTTCTTTGAATTTTTGGGCTTCTAAAATAAATAAAGTTGCCTACGGAGAGCTCGAGGAAGAAAGATTTTATGTGAGTGATGATCTACTTTGTTATTGTGATTTATTTAGTTGTAATGATTTAGGTTAAATTTTGTTATTATTATGGATCAATATAGGCAGAGATAAGATATTAGTTGGAGGAATTGTTTTAAGATGTATAGTTAATCATCATTTTTTTTAATCTTTTGAGTAAAAACAATTATAATCAATTGTAATATTTTAAAAGAAGAAACCCTAATTTAATTTGAGCTCATATTTGTGATTTTAAGATGAAACATATAGATATTTAGTTTGACTTTATAAATAGTCTAGATTTTTCACTTTAAATTATTTAAATTTTGTTAAAATTCAATTAAAAGGTTATTGATTAAATTTGAATATTATCATCACAAATGCATAAATTTCAATTCATGTTCCACATGCACTTCATCTACATGCTTATGAGCATAGCCTAACAATTTTAGGTGGTTTGAACAATAAATGATTGAAATTAAAATGTCAAAAGACATTCCACTCTCAAAAGACATACAATATCGAAATATACCATACACACTTATGTTCACTGGATCAATTAAATAAAAACATTTTATATCCAAATTTGAGTCCAAGAAGCCAATAAATGATAAAATAGCGTAAACCTGGTGAAATTCAAAATTCAGATTTACATTTACTTTTGAAGCTGTTTAAGTGTTGTCCTTAATTTTCTCCACAAAATTAAGTTGTTAAACTCAACTATAAAAAGTCACTTATTCATTAAAGGAACTTGCCTATATGCTACAACTAGCTTATCCACTTAAGATTCACCTTTAACATATCAAGTTTTCACTACATTATCAATTAAATTGAAACCAAGTCTTATTTAATGTAATTATATCACATTAACAACTTTGTAGATATGTCATGTCATCTATAAATAAATAGGGGACCAGTGATCAAGTGCATGCTTAAGAAGCTTCACATGAAATCTCTCTCTTCCTCTAAATTATGTTATGATAACACAATTTGAATCACTCTTCCCAACTCAAAGGGCTTCAATTAGGTTATTTTCAAAATATATAGTTTCCAATAATATTTTTTAAGATCTAATTTTTCTAGTCTTTTAGCACCTTGGGCAATAATTGTTTCTCTAGCAAGACCTTATTCCTCTAGCAAGTCCTTATTCCATTAAAGAAACTACCTTTTTATACTTGCTTGGTAAATGGGAAATCCTATATAAACTAGCATATTGTCCTTACTTTGTGCCCAAATTGAAACCTAAGATTAATTGGTACAGAATCCATTCAAACTCTCCTTGCTAATTAATTAGGCTTGAAGATTGACCTTAGGTTTCTTTGGCAAATTCTAAACCATCTTTAGGACCATAATGACCATAAAGTACCCTCTCTTAGATGTCTTTTTTTTTTGAGCTCTAGAACTACTCAACATCTACCATAGAAATTCCCCAAAAATTTCTTTAGTTAGATAGTTCCACCTTTTTCTCTTACATTATGAGCATTAAAATTGGTGTAATTCCTTGACCTCTTATATTCATACATCTTAATTAAAAATTATGTAGTGTTTTATTGTCTTAACTAATAATAAAAATAATTTTTTTTAGTTGATGTTGTGCAAAAATATCCCAAGAAAAATATGAAAAATTAACAAGTGATGAACTAGTGAAACAACGTTCAAACTATTAGCATTGTAGCATCTCAAACAACCCCATGCCAGATCAGGACATTACAACACTAGAGCCTTGAGAAAAAATGTCATTTAATTTAGTGACCCAATTGAACCAATGCCACTACTGTAATACTTAACAACACCACAATGCTAGAAATAAGCATCATAGTGTGGAAGTCTAAAAAATTTGAGCACTAAAGCATCAAACTCCATAATGTCACAGCACTGGATTACACATTATTCAAGCGCTAAATCACTAAATTTTGCATCACTGTGAAAGGGCAGTTGAAAAAATGTGGAGCAACACCAAATCAACAAAATGACGTGCCTGTTAAGCCAATAGCTGCACTGGATCTATCCATCACCGCAACAGAGCCTAAGGGTATAATCGAGTTGAGTTAAGCTTAATTATGGGGTTGCTCGAGCTCGACTCGATCGTCAACTCTAAGGTAAGATTAGACTTGAGCTTGAGCTCAAGCTCAAGCTCAAATCGAGCACATATGGTGAGCTTGAATTTGACTTGCCAGAGTTGCAGTGGGCTCGAGCTCGATTCATGAGCTTGCCTTGCTCAAGTAGTTGTAACGTCTAGTCAACACTAGAGTTATAGTGGCTGGAGAAGTTGGAATGCCTAATCAACTGAAACAGAGAAGAAGAGCAGTGTTTTTTTTATTAGGAGAAGAGAGTAGCATAGAAGGTTTTATAAATAATTATAAATAAAATCTTTTGAAGGCCCAAATCCTTAACAAAAATAAAAAACTAGCTATCATCACAGACTTTCATTAAATGTAGAATTAAAGTTGTACAGTTTTAAAACTGCATTTTCTAAGAAAAAAGGTGTTTGAACTGCCAATAAGTAGATTTTTTTTTTTAAATATCAACTTAATCGAGCTAAGCTTGAGAGCCAACGAGCCAATTTTTATCAAGCTCAAACTCGAGCTTGTTTAATATGAGAGCTTGAGCTTAAGCTCAAGCTAGAAGCTCAACAAACGAGCTTGTTATCGAGTCGAGTTTGAGCTAGCTCATGAGTCAACTTAGCTCACATACACCCCTAGCGAAGCCTACTTAGTAGCGTTGAGGTGCTAGTTCATATTATAACATCTGCAACACCACCATGTCAAGTGTTATGGTTCCTATGTCAATTTATGTACTTAATATAAATAGTTTTCAGTCTTTTTATTGGGAGATTTAGTCATTTTCAAAAGAGTTTTGTCATTTTGAGTGGGTTTTGTCTTTTTTTTTTTTTTTTTTTAAAATTTTTTTTTTTTTTTTTTTTTTTTGAAAATTGCTATTAGCATTAAAAAAGAAAACTAATGACAAGGAATAAAAACATCACATTCCTTCGTTAACAAGCTAGACAAATTAGAAGGAATGTTGGCAAACAAGTAGTTATCAAAGCAAAAATCGTTACTTAAAGCTAAAGTAACATAACCATCCGCTACTTTATTACAATCTATATGAATATGATTAAAAATTACTTTATTGAAATCATTGAGGAATAAGAGATCTTTATTATACCTTGTGTTAAAGTGCAATTTAAGCTTATTCAAAGAATTTTTAATAATGTTGATGATATTTATGTTGTCACCTTCAATGATCATGCCTTTAGCTTCCAACATCCAAGGTTGTATGAATTCCTTTATAGTTAAAATAGCTTCTTATTCAAGTTGAGAGATATCCCAGTGAAGTTTCTTCTTTCTGAAGGCCAACAATAACCGTCCTTTGTGGTCTCTAAATACAACTCCAATTCCGGCTTGATTTGTCTTCAATAATGATGCATCAACATTTATTTTGATCCAATCTAGCGGTGGAGGGTGTAAAGCATTAGTAAACTCCCTTAGGAGATTAGCACCCCAGTTATCTAGATTTGGGAATAATTTTTTCTTTGCCAAAAACAAAACATTTGCTGCCACAAAAGCACTTGAAGTGATAGAATTACCATGAACCAAGTCATTTCTATTTTTCCAAGAAAGAAAAACTGCTGTAAGGTAGATTTTTACCATGTTTGGAAACCAAGATGAATGTCTTCTTACTTCTTCAAGGAAATTATCAAGGGAATGGAAGATTAGAATAAAGAAACCCCATTCTCTTAATCTGAGAATGATTTCTTTAATGAATTTGCAATGAACTATTATATGCTCATAGTTCTCTACCATCTGACAACCTCTTGGAC